AGGCAAGAGGAAGAGGCTGTTCTCCAAAGAACGTGAGTAGACACCCCTGCCCGGGGCGGACGGGTCGCTCGCCCATCCCCCAAACACCGCTGAAATGCTGAAGGGACAGCGATGGAATCCCAAAACTTCAATTTTCCTTAGCAAAACAGCGGCTTTCGTTCAGCGCCCTGGCTGAAAGCACTGTGAGCTGTTGTACAGACCCCCCTAAATCCTGCTAAGGCCTCATGTGACGCTAACCATGCCAAAAGCCGGTCGGGGCTCGTTACTCGGTAGGCTGAATGCACGTTTACAGGGTGCCGTCAGGCGTGCTTTCCTGCACATACGGCACTAGGCTTTTGTTGGCTTCCGTCTACCCGCCTGCGTCTTGTGCGCTGGCTCAAGGGTTCGCCCGCCCCGAGACAAGCGTGCCGTGCCGGTGCACGAGTGCGTAGGGTGGTGAGCTCTACCGAGGTGCGCGCTGCTGACAGTGCTGAAGGGATGAAAGAAGCCTCACACCGAGTCTGTCTTTCCACAGTGAGATGCATGATGTATGGATTCGGGGATGACCAGAACCCTTACACAGAATCAGTGGACATTCTTGAGGACTTGGTGATAGAGTTTATCACAGAAATGGTAAGTCAGCTGTAGGCAGTATGGTCAGTACATCCTCACTAAGACTTCAGTCTCCTAAGTCAAATGCTGCGTTATCCCAGGCCCCAAACTCTGATGCTAGTAGGAAAAAGCTAAACTTAGACTTTGCTCTTTGAAGATTTAAGGCAAAGTTCATGCATCTTGCTCCAGGTGGATTTAGAACAATGTCTGAACTGCTTAAGCAGCAGTTACATTAGTACTGGTGGGGTGGAAATCAATGGCCGAATTTGGGGTTCACTGTGGCATCGCTGGCAGCTGACAAAAAAGTTATTCCTACTGCTTCGTTGCCTTCCCTCATCAAAATGCCCCAAACTGTCCTGTGACATGGGTACATCACACTGCTTTTGCCTGATGCTGTTCATCTTCAAGCATTCTGCAGTCCGGGTGTCCTACATGTAATCTGCATTTATATAGACCCATAGAGTGCTTTGGGTTGGAAGGGATGTTAAAGACCATCCAGTTCCAACCCCCCTGCCATGGGCAGGGACACCTTCCACTAGACCAGGTTGCTCCAAGCCTCATCCAGCCTGGACTTTGAATATTCCGGGGATGGAGCATCCACAGCTTCTCTGGGAACCTGTTCCAGTGCCTCCCCACCCCCTCGGGGAAGAACTTCTTCCTGATATCCAATCTAACCCTCCCCACTTTCAATTTAAACCCGTTACTCCTTGTCCTGTCACTACAGGCCCTTGTAAAAAGCCCCCCCCAGCTTCCTTGTAGCCCCTTCAGGTACTGGAAGGTGCTATAAGGTCTCCCCGGAGCCTTCTCTTCTCCAGGCTGAACAAGCCCAACTCTCTCAGCCTGTCCCCATAGCAGAGGGGCTCCAGCCCCCTGCATATGCAGTGGTATGTGCTGGGTGTCAGTGACAGAGAAGCTGGGCACAGCAGTAAGTCCATGGTTTATTTTGGGAAGTTCTCTTGGGACTGGGATGATGGTGCCCAGGTCTGGCAATTGCTTACTTTTTGATTATGACAGGAAATAAAGAAGAATTGGGATCTTAAATTAAAGGGCAAGGGAATGCTGCTGACTTTTCTCTTTTCCTGTAACAGACACACAAGGCCATGTCAATTGGGCGCCAGGGTCGTGTGCAGGTTGAGGACATTGTCTTTCTTATCCGCAAGGACCCCCGGAAGTTTGCCAGAGTTAAAGACCTCCTGACTATGAATGAAGAACTGAAACGAGCCAGAAAGGCCTTTGATGAAGCGAACTACGGATCTTGATTTTGTGTGCAGGCTGCACTGGGGCATTACTTGGACTTTCCTTCCTTTTGGGCAGCAGGTGCCCATGTGTGTTGTTTCAGAATGGAGATCACTGCTGGGCTGTCTGCTCTCTCTCCCAGCTTTTTCTGAAAAGCATTCAAGCAGCTGAATGGTACCTGTGTGTGCTGTACTTACATATTTTTATACCATTTTATGAAATAAGAGCTCTAGATTCTTGTAATGGCAGGAAGTGTGAAGTAGAACTGTGTTGAATCAGGTATCCAGAGATATAATGATGGGTGATTCTCTACAGCTATTTCAGTTACCCCTGGGTATTCCTGTGACAGGAAACCAGCAAATGGATCTTGCTCAACTGGACATAAGCCCAGGTTACTATGGAAGTTCTGCTCTTTGCTCTGTATTTGCTCTTTGAATAAAATGTTAAGTTTGTGCCCGCCCATAACCAAACTTACATTGACCTGTTCACACAAGGTGTGTAATACAGGGCTTTTGGCACCTGACTGGCTAGAAAGGATATTTTTTTCTTTTGTCCCAGCAGGCACATCTTTTTTGTTTTCTACCAATATTAAGCCTAGGGAACCGAAGTTAACTTATTCCAAATTCACTTGCGTTTACAGCCTTTCCTTACCCCTGTTAGGCAGGTGCTCTGCCATAAAGCAGATTCCTGTTCTTCACTGGGAGACAATTTTTTCGTAGTATTTCCTGGTTATCCTGATCCTGGGACTTAGTTACAAGCAAGAGCCTGGCAGAAAGCACTAACCGATCCTGATCCTGGGACTTACAAGAGCCTGGCAGAAAGCACTAACCACAGTGCTTGTTCTAACTATTTCATTATACATGTTGGAGTAGCTGCACTGTACATTGCCAGGAAGGCAGAATAAAAAGCTTTCAGGACAGTGAGAAACGTGTTCACCAGCCAGGAGTTTACTGTTGCAGGCCACAGCTGTATGTTCACCAGCCAGTTTACTGTTGCAGGCCACAGCTGTGCTTCCCCCTATTTCTGGAGAGGCTCAGAGGCAGAAGGTCCAGCTAACTCCTCATCTCAGTACAGCATAACAATAATACTGCAAGTCAAGGCTGTCCCCTGTACAAGCAGGGTGGAAGGAAGGGTGCAAAACTGCTGCCCTGGAAAAGTGGCAGCCAGTCTGTTATCCTGAGCAGCAGGAAGTGATCAGCTGCAGCCACCTGCTGTGGATGGCAGCTGATTGCAGTGTGGATTTGACAGCAGCACTTGGCACGTGGTCGAGCAAAGGGACAGGAGTGAGGGTAACTCAGTCACTGTTCCCTGGACAAGGCTAGGTGAAAGGACGAAGAGTATTCAGCTGTCTGGAACAACCCTCTGTAAAAAATAAGCTGTTTTACAAAAATAAAATAGTTGGTATGTTCTTAGCAGAATTCAGGGTGTAAGTTACCAAGAGACCATTAGGGTTCTGAGGGTTTTGCTTTTTCCTAAGTAAGTTTGGAATGACTTGTCCCTTTTCCTCCTTGCAGTCCAGAGTCAGACACCTATTGCTGCAAAAATAGAATCAATATCCATGTTCTCATTAGCTTCTTTCCATAACGGGCCAGGGCTTCCTTCCACCAGCAGCCGCTTGGGCGTCCCTGCTGTGCTCAGTTGGACAGAGGCTGTATGGGCACTGGAATGTCCTTCCCGACCCGGAGGCCCATCCTGGTAAGCTGGGCAGATGAGCGATGCACTCTTTTTACAGGCCTGAAAAAGCTCAGGAGGTTTTTGCCCAACAGTCTTCCGGGTTCTCCTCAAGCGCGTGGATAACGCGCTCCTCCTTCGACAGAACCGTGCCCCGAGGCGCTGCTTTGGCCAGCGTGCGCTTTGCGACCCGTACAGGAGGTAGTTGCGGACAGACGTTTTGACACAGCACAGTTTCTTCTTCAAGCTTAAAGGGGGGAAGGGGCACAAAACATAACCTGATCAGCCGCTAAAGCGTTATTTGGGGTTTGGAGACGTTTGGTTATTAACCTTCTCTGTCATCTTCCTTGTGGTACCAAGGAAGTACAACAGTGCAATGGTACCAGTGTGTAAGAGTACCCAGGGCGTTCTGAAGGAAGAGGACACCCTTTGCATCGTGTAATCGTTACCATTAAGCACACACATGATTTAAGTTGCATTTTCATCCTCCTCCTTAAGTGCATTTGTTAGCCTTTTAAATCCTTTCACAGATGACTGAAGCTAAGCAGAATGTCAGAGCATGCAGGGATCCCGTTTGAGTTTAAAAAGAATGGGTTAGACCACTGCGTTTCCCTAGAATAGCAAAATACGTAACACCAAAACGTGTCAGATCCAGAAACCCCACACCCATGCAAAATTACCTGCATCCTTGAGCCTCCACGTGGTGCAGCCGGTTGCTTTTCAGCAACTTGTGACGCAGAAAATAAGCTTCCGATTTGAGTTTGTTGCCTTTGCACCACAGAACAGCTTTTCTGAGGGCCTCTGACAGCTCCCCAAACGACACAGCTGTTCGGACCATCTGCACAAGGGGTCCAGCTTGCTGTGATTTCGCTATGCGAGAGGACGGTGATGCCGACATCGCTTTAAAAGGCGTCGAGGCAATGCTTATACCCTGAAACAGAGAGGAACAGAAATAGTTAAGTCTTTTAAAAACATGACACACCTGATTCTCTCTGCTGGAGGAGGAGCAGAGCACTGAGGTCTTTGTGAGAACATTCCTTATTTCCTAACGAGAAGAGCAGTCTTGTTTTGTGGAATGCAAAAAGGAGAGGCAGACAATTAGAACTTGTATTCCTCTCTACTACTGACTTGCTCTCTGGCCGTATGTACCAACAAATGCTCACATTCATAAGCAGAAATTAGTAGTGAGTGTTAGGGTCTTTAAAGCAAAAAAATACCAAACCAACAACACAAAAAAACCCAACAAAAAAGGTGTAAAATGGTGCCATACAAACCTCTTGTGTTGGATGTCTGGATTGTCTGAGTAAGCTCTTCACATCAAACCCCAGGTGCTTCCCTAAGGAGAGAGGAGAGTTCCCATTACAAAGGAAAGGCAGTTTAAAGTCTTTGCACAGAGACATCGCAAAGCTTTGCCCTGCTGAGCTCTCCGACCTCCTGCCGCCTCAGCAGGCTCACTCCCACCCTCGGCAGTCCCAGGCAAACCCAAGGGGACCACGCTCACCTCGCATGGCAGCTGGCAAGGGCAGAAGAGGATGCAGGGATGTACGGTAGCTGCACAGGAGAGCTTAATGGGTAAAGGCTCCACGCTAACACCTGGACACCTGCAGCCCCGACTGCAGGGAAAGACCTAGGCACGGCACAGAACCAGCAGGCACAGGACACCTGCATCCCGTACTTAGTACGGACTGCAGACAGTGCTCTCAGCTTCCCTCCTTATCCTTGGGCCCCAGCTAGAGGCAGGAAAATACAAACAACTACTTACAGGACCTCCATACCGCATTCATTACCCACCTCTCTCCAGGCTGTGTCACGTGTAAAACCAACCAAAAACCCCTCGCTATACTGACACGATTTGGAAAGGCAAGGTTTAACGAGCAGCATTCTCCCCTTCCAAGGACAGGGGACAGCAGAAGTGCTCGGCCCTGCTGGACAGAAGTTGCAGTCGGCCTTGGAGATGTCAGAAACCGGCAGCGCTGTGGCACTAGGCTTTACCTGTGATGGCTCTGGTCACCAGGACCGGCTCTCCAACATCCGCGGGGCACGGGATGCGACGTTTTTTCAAAGCACTTGTGCAGATGGCAGAATTTCTGGTTTTCCCCATGTCTGACACCGCCTCTGGCATTGTTGGGAAGAACTTCTTCAGCCAACTGGTAGGTTTTTTTGTTGTAAGCATTCTAGCCTTTTGCTTCTTCACCTCAGAAGAAAAGTTAACTCCAAGGAAGTTCCTGATATCAGAAGGGAAGGTAAACCCCTTGATATAAGGCATCTGTTGGGTCTCGGATACCAGGTGAAGTGACGTGGCCAACATGTCGTACAGGGAGATGAGGCTGTGCAGTACACACCTGTACTGAATCCTGAAGAGAGAGGGCAGAGAGGCACGGAGTCTTCTCTAGCAAAACCCTGTGCTCACTGAACAACTACCTTCACCTCAAGCCCAAGAGCTGACGGCAGAGATTCTAAGCTGCCCTTTCCCCTCTCCCCCTCAATACAAGCTGATGTTGTGACACTCTGTCCCCATGCTTTCCTTCATGTTAGTCTGAGTTTTAAGGAACTGTTCAAGATCTGAGTGCAGGAGTGACTGGACTAGTAAATCCCTGATCAGGAGCCCCTCCACTTCCCTTGAGTGTCACACCTGGGACACATCCCAGGTCACATCCAGATCATCTGACAAGAGGTCCTCCCCCAAAAGCTTGCCATACACTTGCCTACTCTAGAGTTACTGGTGAGACCAGTTTCGTGTGCCAAAGAACATTTTACTGAGTTCTGCTACACAATTCTGTTACCCCTTCAGCTACTGACAGCAGTTACTTTCTCAGCGGTGCTCCGCAGTGCTGAGAGACCAAAACAACAGTTTCCTTGGAAAACTCTGCAGGATTTGAGAACAACTTTATCCCAGCCTTTCCCTTTCTACATGAGGCAGGACTTGCTGCTTGCTGCAGAGTACCAGATGTTGGTGTTTGTGGCAGGCTGGCCACACTGTGATTCTATTAGCGCTACATAAAGTTTGCTATAAACAAGAGCAAACCCTTCCAAAACAGCGTGTAAGAAGTCTTTCTCCACTTACACAACTCTTAGGGTGCTAGAATCAAGTCCAAAAGGATGGAGGACACACACACGCACCCCTTACCTCCTCCCAGCTGAATAAAGCTCACTCAGCAGCAAGGCCTAATTACAAGCCCTGCTCCCTGACAGGCATGTCAAACAGACAACAAACGAGATGATAGACTCTTGAATACACAAACCAGAGGCGGCTCAACAACCCCGAAGCCACAGTGTTCAGAAGTATGAATTCTTCCGAGCAGAGATGCTGAACGCACAAGCTGCAGATCACACCAGTTAGGGATAAAAGAAATAAACAGCATGTAATGAGACTTGCTGAACACACCAACTAGAGGCAATTCAGAAGGCAGGTTCCTGGATAATTTGGGAGATGAGTATCCAAACTTTGGGTTGCTCAAGGCCGGAACAGCAGCCAGTCAACAGCCTGCGGTTCTTGCATAATAACTTCAAAGTAAGATGTTTAGCTATCAAAGAAACCTCAATCTGCACATATGAATTGCACAGTTGAGTCCATCAGCAATGCAGCACCTACAGCAGACCCAGTTTTGGTCTCAGGAGGTGCTATTGGCAAACTCTAAGAATTCTTTTCATGGTGAAAAAAGGATACAGAAAAGCTTTACAGCAACAGTCCAGCAGACGCAGTATGAGCTTGCAACCTCCCAACACCTTCAGAGCCACTGTTTCCAGCATAGGCTGACTGGGAACTAAGCACTCTGCATGGGCTTGGGATGTAGTTTTCCTGTGTTGATACAAAGATGAGGAGATAGTTATGAAATAGCATTCCCATGCTTCTAGCTCCGCAGACTGAGTTGATGGATAGGCTAACACACAGGATCATGACACTTACTTGGGAATCAGTCCTGCCAGAGTTTCAATGCAGCCCACCAAGTTCATTTTCCACAGGCGCTTCAAGCATTGCTCAACCTAGAAAGAAAGAAAACTCCTTTCACTGGTATTTTGAGAGATGGGGTGCCTTGGTCTAAGAACTGTCACTAGACCGACACCCTCCCCTTACAGTTTAACAGCATAAATTGCAGGTTTCCATGATGGAATGTTCTGGTATGTTCCTATATCTGCATAAAGATCCCTTTATCCCACGAGTGTGAACATGGAATGAAGGGCTGCAGTAGGCCCTTGTTAATTGATGCTGCGTGCTTTCCCCTGCTGTATACAATGGCCTTTGGTACTGGCTTTCAAGAATGAGAATGCATAAACAAATCATAATGGTAAGAACCCTTCCTGTTCTATTTCAAAACAGTTATTTGAGGATATTGACAATCCCCTTTACTAGAAAACCCAGTGAGGAGCTAACGTCATCTTAAAACAGAAAGTGCCTAACGGAGTAGGCTAAGATTATTCCTCCTCCCTCCCATTATTACAATTAATTGAACGTGAAATCCCTGTACTGGTTGTCTATTCAAAGGGACGTAGCCGTATCTCCTGCAGTCTCAGCACCAGTGTCGGTGGCCGAGTAAGGGTTTCGCAGGGCTGGAGAGTGGCAATCCCACCGGCCCCACCGAGCCAGGCAGCCCACTAAACTAAACTGCACGGAGCCTTAGAGACAACAGACCCGCACCCGCTCCAAGGTGCTTTTAGCACGATGCTCCAGGCATCGCGTGCCACCCCAGCGCGCCTTCGGGGAACCTGCGGCCCCACCGGGGTGGCTGCTCACCTGC